CTACATTTCCTAAGTAAATGAGGTTTTTTGCTGTTTTAATTTTTTGTGAGCAATCAAGTGCAGCGAAGTGGTCGAGCAAACTATTCAAGCATGTTAACAAAAGTAAATAAGGTAAATAATGAAAATGATGACTTGACGTTTTCAAAATATGTTAGAATAATATATTTAAACAAAGTTTTACGTAATAATATGAATTTAAATATTAATTTCAACCATTTTCATAATAAAAAGTAATTTAAAACAAATATAGAACATCCAACAGTCAAACTATTGTGTATAGTTTTGTTAGACATGGCGTTAGATTGTAAGGCATATCATGTACCTTTTATTATTAAATAAATATCAATAATTAAATATATTAACATTAAGACTGCTTTGTTAGTAATGGGGTATCGGATCCGATTCTTTGGCCAGACAAAGTTTTATTGGCGGTTTCGAGAAAGAGCAAACTGGAAATAAGTCTGGTATTATGGAAACCAGTACATTATGTCATAGGCTCATTCCTCCAACCATACCAATTTTCTACTTTTCAACCTTTAATCAACTTTTACGCAAAAATTTTATCAAATCCGGCTCAGCGGGTTACGTGGTTAATGTAACAGAAAAACTAAGTAACCTGTTGACTGGCTCTCGAATTGAAATGTTCATTAATCTGGCTGCCAAACTGGGTGATTACAATACCATTACCTCGACATAGCTCCTGTAAATACGGGCGATATAATATGTTCTATTGGGGACATATACGGGCCATTGTTATGACTATGATTGATGTGTTTATTGCAGTCACTTGGAAAGACATTGGTAAATAATTATTATATTATCGGTCATACGCCTTATAATCTCTGAAGGAATAGGGGCACATATAAATAATGTAAAATTTATTTTACATTACATGAGTCCCGTGTCATATTATGGTGGCCCAGAGGTTTAATTTCTCATGCATGAGGGTGCGTGTTCGAAACCTACCAACGGCAAGTACCAATGTGACTTTCTCAGAGTGACTTGTTCCGAGTTATATGTACTTTCTAAGATTATTTAGACACCACTGACAAATGATGAAGGAAATCATTGTGAGGAAACTTGGGCTTATAATTTCTAATTATAAGTTTATAGTCGCCAACCCACATGAGCAAGCGTGGTGATTCTGATGAATGCTCAAACCTTCTCCGTGTACGAAGAGACTTTGCTCAGCAGTGGGCATTTATAGGCTATTGATGTTGATGCTGATGATGATTATGATACACGAGTCCCACTTATTAGAATCATCTTCTATAATAACTGTACAAACTTCTTTACGAACTGAAAAACTTTATGTACCTAACTATAATAAAAGTACTTTTCTTAACATTACCAAACACTAAAGAAATCTTCATGTCTGAAGTTTTTTTTATTCTAAGACAACGCTATTTGTCAAGTTCGGCCGTCAACAGCTTAACCGCAGCCTGTTGAACTACAAGTTTCATAACTTACCAAAATAAAAAAAAAACAAAAAATGAGAATGCATCGGAATGGAGTACACAATATTTATTTACACTTCATTATTATTAACAACACAAACTTATTTACTAATTTTTACTAGACCAAGGGTGGAAGGGTGTCTTGCTAGACACCCTGTGTGTTATGCTTAACATAAAGAATCCGCTCTATGATGTACTTAGCAATACCAAGATAGATGAAGAAAATAAACTACCACTACTTGCATCCCAATTATTACCATAGACAATAGAAAATAATTTTCCTAATCGACATTGCAACTGACTTTAAAACAATGAATAGTTCTAAAGTCAAATTGCGTGCTCTCTCAACCAATCACAAGGTGACCGACTAAACATCGACAATTGTCTACAATGCGATTAATTAAAAAACTCAATAGTTCACTAACTTCCTCAAAATCGTAAATCAAGTTGAATACTTGCAATACTTTTTTCTTGCATTTTTTTGTGCACTACCGTCTTCTCTTCAAGGGGGCTTTTTGTTGCAATTGTTTAAATAAAAACAGTTCTATGTTGCATAACAATAAATGCGTACATACGCAATGAAAAGAATATTTAAAAACTTCACTATATTTCCCTTTTCCCAAGATTATATTTAATTAACCCTGTCCCGATTGTTCACCAAGATTATTTTTTTATAATATCTATTACAAAGAGCCTGTCTTGGCCATGGGGCACTTTCGGAATAGGAAAATCATTACTGTGTGTGGGTTTTTCGGAAATATCTCAGTAACAGCGTGGGGTCAACAAACAATATTGTGCTCAATCATTTACTAATTTCCTCAAAGGCCTAGATCAAATTAGATTAGCAATACTTTTTTCCTGCTGTTTTTGTACACTACCGTCCTCAAGGGGGCTTTTTTGAAATAGTTAATAAAAACAGTTTTGTGTTGCATATTGCATGTATTTAATCTTTTAGTAAATGTGCCTTTTTTCAAAATATTTCAAAAATCCTCGATGTTCGTATGATCGCAATTGTCCGACTACCGAGCTAGGTGTCTCGGATTTGATCTCAAGTCGGGCAGAGTGTTAGTACAATATGGTGGTATTTCGGAAAATTCTCAATGATAAAGTTAACACATTAAAGTTATCTACCCTAATCTAGGAAACTCCATAATTTACTTACTACCTTAAAATCGAAAAAAACGTCGTCTAGCAATACTTTTTTCCTTTAGTTTTTGTAAAAACTAGGTAAAGAAGATGGTAGGTCTTCAAGGGAACTTTTTTATCAAAATTGTTTTATTAAAAATGGTTTTGTATGGCATATTGTCGCTTGAGTGACGAGACCAGCACCAAGGACTGTGTACTGAACCACGACCTACATTACGTACTTATCTAATGCCTACGTGATTGAGAACAGGTGCATACAATATCAGACTCTATGAAAATAATTATTCGATCGAATATAATTTAATAACAGTATTTTTGGTGGCTTGATTGTTGGTCATTCTTTTTTGTCAAGCTGGTCGACGAGTATTAATGAGAATAACCCTTGCTACTTTTTACTAAAGTCTAATTCCTCTTTCAATACTTTTCCCAAATCTTTTATTGTACTACTTGTATTACAATAATTGTGTTAGTAGTTTGAATTTAAAATACTAATTTTATAAATTAAGTATTATTTTTCTTGGAACAAAATTATGAAGCATTTTGTAATTTGCATGCCTTAAGGCGTAATATGGTCGGAACTGTACTTTACTGCTAACAGTTTAATGTAATTTACACATATTGGGGAATAAATTATTGGATTTGACTTGTTTGATATAAGTACCATCGCAGCTGGGGGTAACAGGACTAACAGGTAGTTAGAATTAAAGCATCATCATCACCTTGTGACATATGTTACATTTTGATATTAGATATTTGATGATAAAATGTCAACTTTATTTAAAAAAAATGTTAACTTCATTTATCACATGTTGCTGTGCCCTTACAGGTTCCATAAATGTAACTTAGCTTTAAGCCTATTGTAACACCTTATTAAAACATTATGGTATGCAAATAAATGAATATGAATATGAATATGACAGTCCAGACCATGGGTTCCCTCTAGTTTCCTCTCTGTCTAGAAGGTTTAGCTACATACATATGTCTGTGGGTTTAGCCAAAAGCGCCACACTTGGCATTCGGGCTAAAGATCTCTGAGGTTAAAAAGTACAGGTACATCAGAAAACGCTCTTACTCCTTCTACATCTTGATCAGCTCTTACATCACCTGAAGGAAGGGTAGGAATCGTAACAAATATAATTAAATCTAATTTACTCTGCTGTCACCACATCCTTGGAGGAAAATAATATTTGCATCAAAATATGCATTAGGTTTCATGGATCATTTAATATGTAGGTACCAATAAAATATAGTAAGTCATTACACCTCTGGGGATTTTGGAAAGACTCACCAAGTCATCAGTATTAGGTACCTATATTGCTAGTATTTTTTGTCCATTTGTAACACAGATTTATTGCTCACTAGTGGTGCAGACATGCACTGAGTGCCAAGCACGTCTATAACGTCAATAACTATCACATTCGTAACGTATTAGTATCGAGCGCGTTTGGCGCTCTGATTGGACGGCTCAAGTAATCCAACCAATAACCTAGTCACATTCCAGTCTGTTTTTTAGATTTTTTTTTGAAAGCCTTTTAGGTTAACTGGTCTCGAGAAACAAATTCTCTTGGCGCTTAAGCCATAACCCTATTTGGTTTGCAACCCCTTGATACTATAATATTGTGCATTACCAATGGTAAAATCTTGTGAAATAAGATCTACGAGCGCGTACTGGAATATCTTAGTATTTTCCATCTGGTACCTCTAATGGACTGCATAAAAGATTTTATAAAAATATGGAACTCCTAAATGGATATCGTCCTTGATTCCTTTTCTCTTTTCTTCCTATATTATTCAATTTTTTCTCTCTCGGTCTTTACATTTGTTTATTCATTTGTTTATCTTTATCAAAATATATCTAAACCTACATCATCAACAGCCCGCGATAAATCTGGACATTAAGGCTACTCTAAATAAGAGGGTATGCCATCATGGCCAGCGGGATTGCAGTTTAAAAAGTTTAACTTTATCACAGGTTTGCTGCCTGTTTTCTATCAAATGTATAGGTAGTCGTAAAGAGTAATGATGGAGTTACTTGCTAGTTCTTCTCCATTCAAAACTGAACTTTGGAATGAGCGCCAAGCTTCATTGACAGATAGGCTGTCGAACAATTTTATTTAAGCCGTTTCAAAAGTGCTTAATTAAGGATTAATTGAAATAAATGGTTTGACTTTGGCTCTTACAACACCCGGGAGGAGAGGTTTTTTTAAGGGGGGAAAATCATCGAATGACTTCTCCCACCTGGATGAGGCGGGATGAGAGGGCGCGAGGAGAGTTAGTGTGGTTACAATCATAAAAATGTATTCCACTTAACCATCATCACACAGCTTACGTCAACCGTATCCCGTGTCATAAGTAGGTTGTTAATAATTGGGCGCTAATTTCATTCTTTCTTTCTAGATGGTTCCACGGCGTAATGTCTGCGAAAGAAGCGGAGCTGCTTATCATGCAAAAGGGGAAAAACGGCTCCTTCCTCGTGAGGGAGTCTCAAGCTCACCCTGGAGAGTACGTGCTATCTGTTAGAGTAAGGGGGAGAGTCAGCCACGTCATGATTCGAAGACAGGTAAGCCAGTTTTTGTTTTCACTGTCACTCAAGAGGCCTCTCTTGAGTGCCCTATGTATGTGTTTGTTATTTATCCATTGAGCCTTCAATGGAGACGTAACTCTTTACTAAGGATCTTTAGGATTTATAGGACGCAGTGTCCCCTTATAGGATAGGTGCTGATGATAATGAACGTGGTACTTAGTTTTACGACTTAACACACATTTTGGAAATATTAGGCTAACTACAGAATTACAAGAAATACATTTGTGAATCAAATGTCGTGGTGGCCAGGAAGTTTAATATGCTACTCATGCAAACTTACCAACAGCTAAAAAGTACCAATGCGACTTTTTCCGAGTTATATGTACTTTTTAAGATATTTTTAGACGCCACTGACAAACGGTGAATGAAAACATCGTGAGGAAACCTGGGCTTATAATTTCTAATTATTATAGGTTTCAAATCGATAACCTGTACTGAGCAACCGTATTGGTGATTAATGGTCTACATATGAAACTTGTAAAATAATAGAAATATCACATGCGTAATAATTAGTAGGTATTAGGTACTTAATATACCACCATTGCCCGTTGCCGTTCTCTAAAATCTCTACACAGGAACAAAATTAATAAAGACAAGTAATAAGTACTTATAGCTATATGCGTTGGAGTTCCTGTTATTTTCGAATGCACTTTATGTTGTCTCCATCAGTACTTAAAAGTGCAATCGCATTCTTTTATGACAGACAACAGATTATATGAAAAATGCTTGGAGGTCAATGAACTTTGAAACCGTAAAGTAACGTTGCTTTTGTTTTATGTAACCAAATTATTGGTTTATTGTATTCTGTGGTCCTTGTGTCCAGACGCATGAATGAGATGAAAGTTAAAAAACAGAGTAAACGATTTAAACTAATATGAATATTATAGATAACTAAAAATTAAAAAAAAATATAGTCCGTCTGGTACATTAATTTAAACCTTTACACACGTATTTTTTCTTTTCTCACAAAATTGAATACCTTCGACGATATATTAATTTGAAATATCGTGTGACGTCACAGCGTGCCACATTTTGTAGCACGTTATGACGTAACAAATTCCCACTCCTAAACTTAGCGCCATTTTATCTAAGTATTGCAATTTAATACGAGAAAATAAAAAATACGTGTCTAATATTTTTTCATTATTTAACTGACGGACTAATCAGATTTTTAATTTTGATCCCCTGGAATCTACCCAATTACAAAACGTTGGAATGTGCTCCACTTTCTGGATTAACTACCGAATTAAAACATTTTGGGATGTGTTCCTCTGCGTATTCCTTTAAAGATATAAAAGGTATGATATCTTTATATTACACGTGTAATTTGTAAATAACAAGTTTACAATGAAAGAAAGTTGATCATGTTAGTCCGGTTAACTACATACTACCGATTCAATTTTACCTTGAGGTTCAATGACCTGATCGTACCTGTATTATTATGATTCATAAAGGTAATTTTTTACCAGTAGTTATAAGAGTAAAGGTTACTTTATAGTAATACTAATACGTCATTAAATCCCTTATGATGTAAAAGTTGAAAGTAAATAGCTGCAACCACTGTCTTGAGTATTATAACTCATACAAATGTGGTGTCTGGTGCCATGATTCAGCAAGAATAGACCAGCTCAACCGCTTTTATACCACGGCCTCGTCGCGAAGAACCTAACGGGTAACCGGGGCTACGGCTCGACGTGCAGGAGAAGGAACAGCGTGGTTTTTAGTCAGTAAGAGTCTGACACTCCATCCTGCCTTACCCAGGTGGGAGCAGTCAATCGATCATTATCCCCCCTTAAAATAAAAATAAAATACCACGGCCTCACAGAAAATCGACGTGAAACAACGCTTGTGTTGTGTTTCGTTGTGTGGGTGAGGTTACCGGAGGAGGATTACCCTCCCCTTCCCCAATCTCCCCCTTACCTGAATCCCAAACATTCCTTAAACTGTCAAACACCGCGCGGTCACCGGTGACCGCAACCTATTGTTCTTAAATTGTGTCTATAATGACGGTACTCAAAGAGTTAAATTCCTAATCCCCAAAAGGCCGATTACGCATTTGTAACGCCTCTGGTATTCCGAGTGTCAATAGGCGACGCTGATTGCTTACTATCAGGTGATCCGTCTGCTTGTATACCAGCTTATCCCCATAAAACAACCTTTGAATATCATAATTGGTGACAAATACCTAGGTTACAAAGCTTTCTTTATTTAAACAAAACCACAGATACAATTTTAATACAGTTACATGTATTATTAATCTTATGTTTCACAACACGAAGTAACAAGCTAAACTGAACTTAACTTTTGAGAACATAAGATACAATATTAACTTAAGCTTTAACATTGCTTTCCACTAAACAGGGTACATTCGCCTGTTCGCGTCCATCCAGTTTGTGTATATTACTGATCGCTATGATTGTAAGATACTGAAAACGTGTAAAATCAAAGGGATTATGTACTATAGACTACTAATATGATGGTGTTTTTTTTTTCTTTTCGGAGTTTTTAAAAGGTGTTCCGTAATTTGTAAACATGTACTCAAACTGATAGGTGGCCGCGATCAGGAGAAATTACCCTAACAGGATATAAGTAACCAAACTTACTTTTTTACCACGGAATCCTCAATCATGTGTCGTCAGTCGTCAGTAACCCATGACTCAGCCCAATTACGGAAGATTCCAATGTCCGGCAGTATCCAGAAGCTTTCAACCAATGAATTACCGTTTTTGGGTTTCCCAAAGTGATATAACAGGTTTATATAATTGTGCAGTGTTGTGAAACAGCTGTTGTTTGCGTGAAAGTATCTACTGGAAGGGCAAAATATTGAGGCCCCCTTAGTCAGCCCAAAGGGTCTTTAATATTTAATCTAAGTGGTAAGAAGTCTGTAAAAATATTTAAGCCCAATAACTGTTATTGGGCTTAAATTTTTTTGCACAATATAATACGTAGGGTAGATATGTGTACGGGTTACATTATTTCAAGATATTGAGAACAGCGCCATCTATTGAAAAAGGTACGATTCAACATGCTCCTGTAGGACCTAAGGGATATGCCACCCTAATGTTCGCAATTTGAGAACAACGCCATCTGTTGCCAATGTTACTAACTAATATCAGACTCACTTAGCTCTGCGGTTAGTGTGTCATTGATATTTAAAGCTTCTAAAAGTTGATTTTTATAGGCTTTTATTACTTATTAGGTACAATCCTGTCTACATTTCAAACCCACGTACCTTTATCATTACAAGTAATAGATTTCCTGTTCAATTTACAATACCTATGTATAGTATATTTTTATGAAAACAATATCATTAGGTCCATTCTTTAAAATTTTTTAACATTAATTATACCTATCACATCATAATTATTACAAACAACTCACAACATAGCGGGCGCAAAAGTGCGTGATGCAACAATCATGTTCCTCTCACTGCTCAATATACCTTGGAGGAATAAGAGGCTACTTATATATATATAACCAAACACATACATACTGATAGGTTAGGTTTTTTCTTCTTCTCCTCTTATAATATCTTCTGATTCACTTCGTTGCGGGAACCAAGACAGTTACTCATGTCCCTAAGACGCGCCGGACTTAAGTGTTCCGGTGTTTTCATGGTTGTATCTACTGTAGATCCTGGCTTACAGGAGTTGCAGCGGTTTTGACAGGTTGTGGGCGGGCTTGTCCCATTAAAAAAAATACTGTTAGGTATTAAATCAGTAAACAAAAGCTTAAAATCATTTATAACTTGAACACAAATGATTCGATCCAAATATAGGCAAGGTAATCAATTAAATCGCTCAGAAATCTTCAAAGCAATTGTTGTTAACGAACAAAAAATGTATGGCGTCCGTCGGTCATAGTAGAGGACATATAGTTTTTTAGTCTTGTTACTGACATGCGATCGTTAATAAAATTAGGCTCAGACCGTCCCACGTACCTATTTTGTAAAAAACGTCGCTCAAGAACAAGAGCGACACTGAATCACATGCAACGGTTCTGTATATTGAAAATTAAAAAAAACTGGTCTGTATCCTTACTTCCTTACTTATATTATAAATCGGAAATTGATTTTGTTTGTTTGTTTGTTTGTTCCCCTTTAACGCAGTAACTACTAAACCGATTGCTTTGAATTTTTGCAGATGTATAGTTAGAAGTCCGGATATGTACTTTCTAAGATTATTCAGACACCAACATAACATAACGTCACGCCTTTTATCCCTGAAGAGGTAGGCAGAGGTGTACATTATGCCACTGTACAATGAAACACCCACTTTTCACTATTTATGTTATTAGTCCCATGTAATAGGGGGTGAGCCTATTGCCATATACCGGGCACAATTCCAGACTCCGTGCTACTACTGAGAATTTATTAAAAACCCAGTAATAGTTTGCCCGACCCGGGAATCGAACCCGAGACCCCTTGCCCGGTAGTCGCACTTGCGACCACCCGGCCAACGAGGCAGCCTATTTATTATTTTATTTTATTATTATTTTGAACCCCAAAAGCTTTGATTCCACACAGTGAATTGTATCTATGATCAACGTTATTATTAGATATCAAACCACGTTTTAGTATATATCGTTATTTTTGTCTGTAATGATAATGATACCAAACCAACCATATTAGTTCTAATATTTGCTTCTGGGATAACAATAATAAGTGTTGTGTGTAGTGTTCTAAATTTTAATTTATAAAAAACTACTAATGCATATAATTCATGCGAACTAAATTATGTAGTTATGTACAATAGGTTTCCTGATAATAATAATTATTATAGAATTTTTCCACCTTATTTGTCGAATACTCAGAAGTCAGAAGTGCCAGAACTAAGCACGAAGCCTAAGTCAGATTGTTTTTAAGGGGGGAAAAAATCATCGAACCTGCACCCTCGTGTATGAGGCGTCTTCAATTTCCGGGCCACCACGACTCCTTTTCTACTAGTTACTAACATTTACATATTAATCATTTGTTT